TCCTGGACTAGAAGTAGCAGTAGCTCCCCCCAAAGCGGAAGCACCAAGAATGGGAACTGGGGGAATGTTGAGGGTCCTCCACCAGGACAGAGTGGATGAGGGAGAGCACCAACTTTATAACAGCAGCCCTGGAAATTAGTACAGGCACAAATGGGAACTCACTAGAAAGAGAGAACTAGTCCCTCGGCTTGAGTGCTGGAGCCAGGACAAGTTATAGAAGCGGTGCCCGAGGGGTGCCTTGTCCTGCTGACAGCTGCTTTCCTGGCCACGTGGGAGACAGAGGAGGAAGTAACCAAGGGCCCTGAAGCCCAGGAGAAGGAGCAAGTGGCCAGAACGTGGACGCCCAGGAGGGTCAGACCTGAACCTGGGGCAGGACGACTAGTGAGACCAACCGTCCCCAAGGCCAGCCTGGGACCCCCCAACACTGAGAACTTCTCTGTTTGTAAACACCCAGCTACTTCTCAACTTGGCCTTCCCGGGATGCGTCCAAATAACTTAGGAGCTATGAGTCCCTATCCCCTTCCTCTTCAGATCATGTTGTGACCCCACACCATCCACTAGACAACGGGACCATTTCAGCCCATGGCGCCGTGTCCCTGAGCCTCAGGAGACAGCGTAGATTTCCTGGACGGCGCTGTGCAGACCACTGACCGTTTCTCATTTCCTGCCCATTACCCCTCCCCGTGTGTTGGCAGAGCTGCCCCTCCCCCCCAGTGCCGCCACAGGACACCAGACCCGTGTTTATGTATATGGCTCAGAACCAGAGACCCGCAGCTGCCTTCCAATGAGGGGGAGCACGACCGAGGACTTGAACCCACACAGAGCAGGCAAACCTGCCAGGTCAGCACAGCTACCAGCCCAGGAAGGCGCTGGGAGAAGGTGAGCCTCCCCCAGCTCCCGATGCAGCAGACAGCCACGCACGGCTGGCAAAATCAAAGTTGCCAGTCACAGCGGACGGAGGCCCTGGTTGAGCACTTAGAGTCTCTTCAATTATGTCTTTTCTGTGGACAACGTTCCCTCCCCCTGCAGTCCTCGCTCCTGTCCAAGGGAGCCCTGCCCTCCGCTGCTGCTTTGCTCCAGAACAGCCAGAGTCTGGGGGAGGCCTGACAGGGAGCCGTTCAAGGAGAAAGGACACTGACCTAAATGTCCTTTGTCCTACCATGGACCTGGCCATGCACCGGCTGGTGCTGACAGCGCAGGGCTGAGGTCAGGCTCCAGTGTGGGTGTAGCCAGGGGCACTGCCCTTGGCCCCTCTGATCCTCGGTCTCCTCCGTGGAAAAGCCCCATGCACGTGTTCATGTGCACACTGTCTGAGAATTAAATGAGATATTCATGTGGCAGATGCTCCTAGGGATCTCCTAGATATCTGCCCTCATCTCCTTCCTTAGAAACCTATGTGGAGCCGCAACGTACCCCCTAAACAACAGCATTTCCCATCTGACCAGTGAAACAAGGACACTGTGTGCCACTTCCACCGAAAGGACATGCAGGGGCCCCCACCTGCCCCTGTTCCCTTTCTCTCATTACCTGTAGCTGTGCTGGTTGAAGAGCTAGTAGGACTCCCGGGAAAGCCCCACTAGGGCGCTGAATCAAGTAGAAGATGCATCTCTTTTACCCTCCCCCACCCGGGTTCTCTTTGTCTTTGGCTAGAATAAGAATTCGATGGCCGGAGCTCCAGCATCCAGATTGGCTCATGAGGTAACTTTAAGAATGGAAGTCTTGCGTGGCATAGAAGGGATACAGAGGATCCTGCATCCCTGACGACATCACCAACTCTGAGGCAGCTCTTTATTCTCTATCTCTTAGGCTCTTACGTACCTGAGCCAGGGCTATTTTGGGTTTTATGATACATGCAACCACACTTTATCTTGATGATTACAATATATAAAGCCATATGCACAGGGTCCAGCACATAGTAAACCCTCAATAAATAAAAGTAGCTATTTATCAGGTTGGCCCCAGGACTCCATTCTGCCTCTGACTTAGAAATTTGGAATTATTTTTCCTTCAAATAAGTGCTATACACATGCCCATCATCTTTTCAAAATTAGCTACAGTTCAATTAATAAGTGGATTTTTTGGTATTGTTTGTCTAACCATTTGCAAGAAGCTTTAATAAACATCCTTTCACAGCTCACAAACTCTGTCAGCTGATTCTTAACAAATCATCCAGCTCCCAGGCCCCTCACCCCCGCTTGAAACCCAGGCCCAGGGAGCCTCATCTGCCTGTCCAAGTCCACCTGGCCAGCTCGCGGCTGGGTTCTGGCGCTCTGTCTCCCGGTCCAGGGCCTCCCGGACAGCGCTGCTGTCATCGGGGTCCCTGCTCTCCGGGAGTCTGTAAACAGCAAAGGCTCAATGTATACAAGCGGAGTCAAGTGCCAAGAGCACAGGGAGGGGGCAGGGGCTATCCAAGCACGGAGGTGGGGTGGACGTGGCAAGAGGAGCTGAGCGAGACCTGGAGGACAAGACAGGCCTTCCCTGGGCTGGAGGCCGGGCGTCTGGGAGGGGCGGCAGTAGGACCACGGGCAGCAAGCGCACCCGCGTGAAGCGGCAATCAACCCCCTCGGGTGTGCCGCTCTTCAAACCCTTGCCTGCGTTTGGAGCATGCCCAGTGTCATGCGGGCTTATTTTTCCTGCATTCTCCCTGAGCCTGGTGGTTTTCTCTAATTGCACTCAGAATCTGGAGAGAACCCACGTCAGCCTGAACGCGTGGTTCTGCCGTGTCCGCCTCTGCCCACCAGCGACGGCCCGCCCTGCCACGCCACACAGCCCCGCACGCGACTCAAGCCGCCCAACCGCTGCCGTGCAGTTCCCGACCGCTCTGCCCTCTGCCCCCCATGCCAGCTCCTAGGGGGTCTTGCAGGAAAGGTCTCTCAGCAGAAAGCGTGGGCAGGACACGTGTATTTGAGGAAGCATTGCCAGGTCATCTTCTAGAGGGCATTTTGGGAGTGAAAGATGGTCTGGAGGGAACAGTGTTGGGTAGCTGTGCTCTTCCTAAATTAGAAAGAAGAGCCCCCCAGTCCAGGGCCTGCCGCACGGGAAGGACCCGGCAGCTGCTGGCTCTGTGCCCCGTGTCCTCAGAGTCACCCTGAGTGACTTCTGCTCTTCCACAAAATCCAGGGAGGCGAGGCCACGAGAGCCCTCATCTTTGTGGGTGCGATTATGTGTGTATCTGTTGCTGGGTTCACTGGCTCTGGGGCTTTTGAAAAATTCATCCTGCATCTTCCCCAAGAGCAGGGAGGGGTCCAGCAGTGTCTACATCTCCAGCGTGGGACAAGGCCGGCGTCGTCTGTGTGTCTTTGCCGCAGGCAGCCCCGTAGGAGTGGGGCTCCGATTTCTGAAAGCCTCCCCTCTGTGTCCCGTGAATTCACAGTGAAGGGAGAGGTTAGCCCCGGGCCCTCTGCCTCACTGAAGGGAAACGACGATTCATTCCTGACCTTGGCTGACCCAGCACCGGGCTCGTGAAGATAGTCATTCCAGCATGATTTTGTTTGCTTTCATCGGTTTGTTCCTGCCTCTGACCTTTGGCACAGCCCAAACTTCAATCAGATCTTCAGAAACCAGCGTCTCCTCTGTACATCAAAAGCACGGACAGGCTGGGGGGAGTTGGGGGTGCTCAGCATCTAGGAAATGCCCTTGGTCATGCCTCCCGTCGTTTGCAAAGCCGTGTGAGACTAGATCCCATGGCTGCCGTGCGGCTGTCAGATTACGGAGTTAGAAGTCCACGCCGTGGAACATAGTGCCCGAGACCATCAAAGGCTGCTGGGGCAAACAGGAAGATGAATTCAGGCTCTTATAAAAGACTGACATCAGCTCCCACGCTTCTGAGATGCCATCAGCCTTTTGGGGGAAATCCATGAGGAATTAGCTTAAGTGGCAAACACTGGCCAAGCACAGGGAAAGGCCCCTGAAGGGACTGAGGGGAGCAAACCAGGCCAAAAGCCCTGCCTGGAGAACCCCAGGATCCACGGGGCGCAGAGCGGCCGTCTCGGTGAGAGGGCCCATGGGTTGGGGGTGGTACAGAGCCACCCCGGAGCAGGCACTGACCTGCACCAGAACACCAAAGCCGAAAAGCAAGACCAGGTGGATCAAACTGTTCCCGGAAAACATAATCACACCCCAGAAAAAAGGCCCAGCCGGTCCCCACCCAGCCGGGAAGGGCCTCCACGCCCAGGGGTCCCTGCTGCCCGAGGAAGGGGTGAAGCAGGTTCCCCCCTGCCCTCACCTGTCTCCACTATGAGGAGCAAAGGAGAAGCTCATGGGCGAGAGAGAACGGTTTTTTGGTTGGTGGTGGAGGAACAGAGACAGAGAAAGAAGGAGAGGGAGGGAGAGAGCCAAAAGAGAGAGAGGGAGGGGGCAGGGATGGAGTTTTGTTGTGTTCTGCATTGCTTTGCTGATTCCACGATTCTAGACAGCAGCAAGTCTCAGGATAAATCTGCCTCCGTGGTCGTCAGTGGTTTCCTCCGGGCCTCTCTCCAGGAGCAAACGGGCAGGCTGGCCCTGGAGATGACTGCGTGTCAATTAGAGGCAACTTAGAACTTCTGAGCTCCCATTTGTGCCGCCGAGGTTGGAGATGTCGGGCATAACCCGTCAAAGCCCGACTTCGCTCAACCGGGAGAGTCTGTTGTGTTCTGTTTCTCAATATAGATTTATGGATATGTTTTCAATGCTAAGAATAGAATCCTTCAGGGTTTTTTGCTTTGTTTTTTTTAAGAACACTAAAGAGGCTCTGGAAGGATGAAAAGCGTGAATCCGCCAGCCCGTCTCCCCGCATCAGGAAGACGGCTGCACACAGTGTCTCAGGCTCGGGGAGCAGGGCCGCGCCTACTGTGGAGACGGGCAACCAAGGAGCTGCCAGGAGCCTGCCTTGCCCTTGGCCTTCGATTCACTTCTCGAGGCTCTCCTGTGCCCGATGGCCTGGCCCTCAGCCTTGTGGGGATTCAGAGGCCAGGCCAGCTGGAGCCTGCTCATCCGCTCACCAACAACTGTTGTGTATTGAGTGTGTCCTGCATGATAGTCTCCCACGGACCCTCCAAAGCCACACATCGGCATCCTCGTCCCCATTTCACAGATGGTGAGCTGAGGCTCAGAGAGGAACGTGAACATGGACTCAAGCCCGGGAGTGGACAAGCTTCGGAATCCGTGGAATCAGGTAAACCTGAGAAGGAACAGATCCGGCTCCTACAGCTGTGGGTCTGCATCTGCTCCTGGATCTGTCTGTGATGTGCCCATCTGTGAAGTGGGGACAGTCATACCTGCCATGCTGGGCTGGTGCGGGGACAGCAGTTAACACATGCTGGGACCCGAAGCACAGCATGTGCTCAAGAAGCTGAAGCCACACTAAAGGTCACAGACAGCAGCCTCTGCATGCTGGGGCGTCTGGAAGACAGGGGCTTTGGGAGAAAAGAGGGGGGATGCCTGAGGGTCCCGGGCTGGGGGCTGCTCAGGCCTAGCCAGGCTCAGAGCACCACTCCTCCTCGAGGCAGCCCATGGACCCCGCTGTCCCAAGGCCACCCCACACTGCCCACAGCATCATGTACCACTAAGAGGGCAGACTCTGGGATCAGAGCATCCCAGACTGACTGGGCTGGGTGACCCCAGGCATGTCACCCACACCCCCAGGCACCCACTTTCCTGTCTGTGAAGTGGGGCCCTTGGGAGAGGTTGGGAGAGCTCCCTCTGCAAAGCCCCTTATCGGAGCATGGGATTCGGAGAGCCACTGCCTGGGGGAAGACCAGGAATGTCCGGCTGGGAGGCCACAGTCTCCGCATGTCACCTGACCTGAGCAGCGCCCCATGTGGAAAGGTGAGACCTGCTCTCCCTCCCTGCAGAATTTCCCTGGCGAGCGTCTGCTGGGCAAAAACAAGCATTTACAGAATGTTCTCATCCACCCTTTGTACTTCTTCCTGCAAGGCTGGGAAGAGGGCCTCCTCGTTCCCAGCAAGCTGGCAGTAAGATGTTTGAACACTTTTAATGAGACTGAACAAACAGGGAAGGAGATGGACCTGCAGCACATCCATAAAATCCTCTCCATGTTCTGGTAATGAATGACTGCTTTCATTTTAGGAGCAAAACCCAAGACCCGGGCCACAGCCTGTCCTGAGAGGGGAGAGTGCAGGTGAGCTGTCTGGTCCAGGCAGGGCATCCTTCACGAGCTCAGGAGCATTCGGGAGGCCAGAGAGATTTGGCGGGGATGGGACTACCATTAGAACCTGAAGAGTGAGCCCTCGGCATGGAGTGGGGCAGGGAGGGGACAGGAGCTATTTGGGGGAGTTTCCATCTGTTCCCCTATGGTCCTTCCCGCTCACCGCCCCCCGGCCTCAAGCCCATGAATATCCACAAACTCGGTCTTATCTCCACTTGGTTCCCCAGGCCTACAGACTGCGCCGGGTGGGCCTGTGGGTCAGGGTCAGCATCAGAAATGCTGGATGAGGATGCTGGAGAGGACGTTGGACCCCACTGAAGAGCAGGGGCAACATTCACTGGAAGTGCGTCTGCTGCCCTGGGGCCACGTGTAAATCAAGTTCCACAGAAAGGGGGAGGGCGGTGGGCTCCTGGGGGTGCTGGACCACAGAGACACTTCATGGGGGGGGCACAGAGCTATATTCCCAAGCCTCTAGCAGGCAGAGCCCCCAAAGTTCAGCACCATCCTTAGCCCCATTCAGTGAGAGGACCCTCAGGCGAGGGCTGTGCAAGAACCGCCTGAGCTCGCAGGGCTGTGGGGCAGTGGAATCGGGGTCCGGGCTGGGCCGTGGGGTGTGGAGCTTGAATTCATGGCCACCGCACGACAAGCACTGTTCAGTCCCTCATCCAGGCTCCCGGAGAGCAGCTCTCCCTGCTCATGCACCGGTCACCTGGGACCAGGGCGTGGGGTCAAGGTCAGTGGGACACCCTGGTGAGAGGAAAGCTTGTGGCCAGAAGGAAGGGTCCTTGGGAGCTGCCAGATGCCCAAGAAGGACAGCCGCCTGCCTCCGCTCCTTCCCTGGGACACAACTGGCACTTTGATTTTGCCTTTTTCACTTTTTTATTTATATGTTTGCGTTTCCCCGTCACATCTGGTTCCCCAGTGCACAGGGCGGAAGCTAGGCTCAGCTGTGACTAATCTAAAATGCCATTAATATAAATTGGGGCTAATTCCTCAGTTCCTCTTGGCAATCCGGCACTGGGCTTCTCGAGACAGAAGCCCCTAGAAAACTCCGGGAGGGCGCCTGGGTGGCTCAGTCGGTTAAGCGACTGCCTTCAGCTCAGGTCATGATCCTGGAGTCCCAGGATCGAGTCCCGCATCGGGCTCCCTGCTCGGCGGGGAGTCTGCTTCTCCCTCTGACCCTCCTCCCTCTCATGCTCTCTGTCTCTCATTCTCTCTGTCTCAAATAAATAAATAAAATCTTTAAAAAAAAAAAAAAAGAAAACTCCGGGAGGATGCCTCCACGGGTAGGGGCCAAGACTCCCCCTGGAATGCTCACCAATCCCCAAGCTCCTGCAGCTCGGTTTTCTTGGGAACAGCTTGCGTTGAGGATTCCTTTCCCCTCTAGCTGCACAATCTATACCAGCGTACAGATCAGGAGCCCGTTAAAGATAAATGTCCTGCTTCTCAGTGCGGCGGCAGAATGGCCGAACACAGGAGCTGAGCGCCCGAGCCCACCATAGTTCACTCTCTGAGGGTTGCAGCGGGTTGCTCTGCTGTGCAGGGCCTTCCTGTCGGCAGACTCTCCTGATCATATATTTATCAGGTCAGGTTTGAAGTGAGCTGTGAGTCCAGGGAGAACACTTAGCACAGAGGCTGGATGGAGCCATTCGTTCTCCAGATCTTTCAAGCTAAAAGAGCCGGCATCTGAGCAGAGGCCAGGAGCATCCCCCCCACCCCGCCCCCCACCCCTCCAAAGTGCGGGAGTCCAGGGCTGGCTGCTGGAGCTGGGGGTGGTGCCCCGAGGCCAGGGAGTAGGGGATCCCCATGCACTCTGCTGTGCTGAGGGCCACTCCCCAAGTATGAGCACTGGGCTGGAGCTGGGGCTGGCAGGACGCAGGAGGCAGAGCGGTCCTTCAAGAGAGAAGCTGCTTCACCCAGTGGCCCAGCCTCTGTGCACCTAACCCCCATACCTGTGGCTGCCAGGTGGCTTCTGTCTCCTCCACTGAGCCACAGCTCCATTGCAGCAGGGGCTATAGCTTGCTACCCCTGCTGTACCCCTAATCCAGCACCAGTCCTGTGGGAAGCATCCGAGCAAAGGGACCAAGATGTGTGTCTGGCTCAGAGGCACAGAATGGAGGGCTGAGCTCAACCAACTCTACAGGGAGGAGGGGGCCAAGCAGGGTGGTAACTGGTTGCAAAGGTTTTTGTTCCTCAGGAGGGGGTGGTTCCATGACCCTAAAATTGTCCAGGGTTGGGGAGGAGGGCTTGGGAATTGGCGGCTTCAGACTGGACCACGTATCAACCTTACCTGTCTATCCAGGTCACCTCCTTGGATCTGGCTTCTCCACCTGAAAATAAAGATGCTGCCACTCAGCTCAGGACCGCATCATGAGGCTGGACTGAACGTGGAAGGGTCTGGCACACAGCCAGCCCCAATAATGCTCTTTCTGCCCATCGTAACATCAAATCCCATAGACGTCAGCTTCAATCCACCTGAGCAGGGATTTCTGGAATCCATAGGTGAAACAGTGAGTTTTGGGCTTGCATACCAACCAACACCTTTCAGTAAACTTTCTAAATAAAAATATCGCATAGCATTTAAAGACTGTACACGGTAGTGATAGCTGAGACAGACGACGTCTGCACCTGCAGGCACCCACCTAGAGTGGCCTTGGGGAAGACAACCTGAACCCTGGGGCAACATCAGCTGACCTCTCTTCTCACTCTCTTCCCACCGTGACAAGGAGTCCTGGCTCGCCATTCGGGATTGCTGGGGGTGGAGGCAAGGCTGGTGGGGCTGGCGGCAGCCGGGGCGCCCACAGGCAACGAAGACCAGCGCCAAGGAGCTTCTCACTGCAGACCACCGTTGGAGCCATGTGTGATGGCCAGTGGATCCCAGGTTGGGAAGTGAGACGTATCACCCTGGGGGGAAGAGAGAGGCAGCTGCGTTGCTGCCTTAGACCAGGAACGTTCTTTCTGAGTCTCACACAACATTGGATGGAGCTTCTGAATGTTTCCAAAACAGGTCCTCAATTTCCTGCCCCGGCCAGCGAAGAAAGTCATCAGGAGTTGGGGGAAGAGTTAAATCTGGGGCATGGAGCATTTCCGCCACAGAACAGTCTTCTTAGACAGCCCTGGTGTCTTATTCTCGGCCTTCAGATCACGCCGTTGGCTGTGGAGTGACAGCCCTTTCCTGGTGTGACGAGCGTTGTGAAGGCTGTTTCAACCCGCCTCTCATTTCAAAAGCCTGTATGAGCACTGGCCCCTCAGCTTCCACGTGGGAGAGCAGAATATTGCATCCTCTGCCCGTTTCCTGCAGGGCACCCTGGCTGGAGAAACCTCCTGGCCTCCGTGTCACTATTTCCTGCATACGCTGCTCTCCGTCCCTGTGCACAGAGCCACTCAGCCACGCAGCTCAGGACCGCGTCATGGCACTTGGGGCCCCCTGGACTACCTATGCACCAGGACCCAATCCAGGGCACACACACAGATGCACATCCTCCACGCTGACCTCCACCCAGCATCGGCTACGCAAACTCTCTTCCCCTGTAGCATGGACCCAGGAGTCCCCAAGCCCTTCTTGCTCCGTGTGAAATGCCCACACACCAACAGCCGTTCGCACTGGGTCCACCCGTGGTCCATCCAACCACGCTGTAACAGGTGTGCGGGTGTGCACGCACGTTAGGAAGAGCATGTACGCACACTATGTGTCCCAGAGTGTCACGGGATAGATGGATGTTGCCAAATCGACAGCCTGTCCTCTCTGAGCTTAACGGGGGCCTTTTCCTGGTTGTTCCAACTTCACAGAGATGGCAAGGCACGGGCTTCTTGCTGCTCTAAGGGGCGCAGGTTTGAGTGACACCTTCATTGCTTCGGTCTCCTCTCTGTCCGCAGCGACAGAATTTATCGCTTGTCAGTTTTGTGCCAGGAAATAGAATTTAGGGTTTGTGAAGATGAGCTCCCTTGGTTGACCAGAGCAACCACTTGGCTCTTCTGAAAATGAACTGAAAGCTTCCAAGATGTCATGTCACCATTTGAAAGTCTCCCAAGAGATCACACCCTGAGGGCCATGGGCAATCAGATCCCCATTCCAGTAAGTTCCAGCGTGCAGAGTCCGCAGTCCGCACGCTCAGCCTCGCCTGCCCCAGCACACAGAGATCTGCAGGCTGTGTTTGTACTGGAGTCCAGCGCACACCATGTACATTGTTTCAGTTATCCTAAGCTGCGGTATTTATGTTCCCATTTGTATCACTACTTTTTTGCTTTAATAACTACTTTTAAACATTGATCTGTCTTCAGGAACTAGAAATAGATTACACCACCCCCCAAAAGGTAAGGAGAAGCACAGATGTTTACAAACACAAACAATAGCATGCCAATTACCAAAAAATGTGATGACCTGAGAGTAACAGCATCCTGATAATTTCTGCTCAAGGGAACCAGCCCAGACTTGTGGTTCATGCCCATCCTGAAAGGCATAGTAATTACCAAAAACATAGTGTGGTTTCTGTGAAACACATGCAAACAAAGTTGTTTCACTGCTTTTTTTTTTTTTCCTCCAGAACAACCAACTCCCTGGGGACCCAGCATGGTTGCCAGGATCAGCCCGGGGTCAGCAGCCCAAGCCTGGAGAAACATCCGTCTTCCCCAAAGCTGTGAGTGGCTCCGGAGCCTGGGCTGGGTGGTAATTCATCAGCAGTACCAGCGTGACCCCTGGTAAGAGAGCTGCCAAGCTGGGGAGTCAGAGACTGGGGTTCAAGTCCTCACACCCTGGGAGTGAGCCAGCTGAGCAGCCTCTCGCGGCTCCATATCCTCAGGTGCGAGCAGCCATGGTACCTGCTTTGTACTTGCAAGGATGTGATGAGATCACACGTACACATTTCCCCACATGGAGTAAGCATGCGTGGCTGGCTGCTATTATTTATTATGTAGCAATCAACTGGTAATAATATTAATCACTCAGAAACTCATTTGGGGAGGAAAATATCTGCTTGGGAAAAGCCCTGATTCTGAAGAACACCCATTATTTTGCTCTTATGAGCCAGCGAGTTCCCTGCCCGCCGAAAAACGACCAGCTGGAGGTCAGACAGTGGAGCAGGGATGGCATCTGCCCCTGTGAGTGATGAGAGCCTCCATCCAACCAAGCGTTTCCATTTGGAAATCTGGACGAAAAGGCAATTTGCTGGATGCAGCAGATGAAACCATTCACTGGCAGTTTACTTTTGGCTTGGAGCATGTTTCTTGCTTGTTAAATATTTATGATGTGTTTTTATTTATTATTTATGAGGCGCTGGGGAAACACGCAGTCTGAGTTCGGCTTCGTGGA